GTCATGATGACATCAGCAGTTCTTGACTCTGTCTGCAGTTTGTGCCTAAAGAAAGAAAATAACAAATGGATCATCTTTTCATTGTGCCTGGGCCACAGCTTCAAATAAATTCATGAAAACCCACCAGGGAATAGTCAATATATCTTTCTATTTTTCAAGTTTGACAGTAACTGCAAAACTATTTTTTTTTCATTTGTATATTTTTCTCCCTGAGTTGAAAGTTTAATCAATATCGGTGAATTATTTACATTATCCCAGCAGGGAGTTTTATTTATTCTAGGATAAGCAGTATAAGGCAATAGAGTGTACTGTTGTACAGGGTAGTACTTGTCATGCTGAGATATGAACAGTCACTGTGAGTATGTAATTTACTATCAAGAAGTTACATTTAAAAATGTCCAGGATGGTCAAGACAATGTCAAGATATATGTCTGTTTTGAGTTTATCTATGCCAAGTTTATTCTTCTCAAATAACACATATGTAATCTGATGTCTGCACAGACATGCATAGCTAGGTACAAAGTGCTACTATCATATACTCCATTTTAAAGTAATAGCCCATTAAAAGGTGAAATAACAAAACCAGCTTTTCGTGCAATATTTTCCTATTATCCAGAAATTTCCTCCACATAATTTTCCTTTTCTGCCACTAGATCGCCTCAGTCTGATGGCCAGCATCATTTAATCTATTCAATCTACTTAATCTGAACCCAGGATGTCCTGTATCCGCCCGCACCCATGAATGGACAGTGAAAGGTGAAGCAACACGATAATAAGCGCATCTCTCCATCACTTTCCTTTCTTTTCCTATTAGCATGCTTTTTTTGTCAGCATATAAACTGATTGACTCCTTGTGCTGCTTCTTCATCTTGCACTCCAGCTCTGCTGCAGAAGGAACTGCAAAAACTGATGCCAGGTCAAATTCAGGTACTTACACTGCTTGCATTTGAAACATATATTTAATAATGTGTTCGTGATTACAGATAGTTCAGCTTTAACACTTACATTCAGTTTACTGATAGAATGTGCATAGACCCTGCAAACACCTACATGGGGACTACTATATGTAAACTACTAAATGACTCAAATAGGTTTTCTAAGTTACAATCTGGCTGCAAAATCTCCTTTATATTTACCAACAACTTTGCAGTCTAAGACCCTACCTGAATACATAGAATTAAGATAATTGCTAATGGAGACATTTGAACTGCATGGTCTCTACAGAGATTGAAATCAGATTGTAACATGTGTGGCCAATTTAGGATAACACCATGACATTTCTTAAGCTGGCCATACACCTAAAGGTGGCCATACACTTTACAACCATCGCAAGACCTTAGTCTTGCGATGGTTGTAAAGTAATTAAAAAAACGTACAATTTGCCCATCTTGGACAGGCAGATCGTACTTGCGATCATCGCAAGCCCGTCCCGCTGAGGGGCAGGCTTCCGATGACTGCAATGCTGAACGGGTAGTGTGCGCGTGCGCACACCAGCCCGTTCGGCATTTGTCTCCCGAGCACCATTCAAACCAGCCGCGAATCGTAAGAGAATCATGCAGTGTATGGGCACCTTTGCAATTATCTGCAGATTTTCTGTGGTCAGATGGAAAAGGTGCAACAGATTCCTCCATCTACACTTAACTGTGTGGATGGAGTAATCTCCACCTGGGCCAATCTGTTGCACTTTTTCCATCTGACCACAGAAAGTCTGCAGATAATTGTAAGGTGTATGGGCACCTTAACCAGGCAGAGATTTAAAGCATTTAAAACAACATTAAAGTGTATGTAACAAAACATCTACACTACAATTCAGATTTGACTAAGGCTGTGTTGGGATTGGCTTGGCAAAAGTAATACCATACCTCATTAACCTCCCTGGCGGTAATCCCGAGTCTGGCTCGGGGTGAATTTTCAATGCTAGGAGCGGTAACCCCGAAACTGTTTCTCTAGCAAAATAAGAATGATCCAGATATATGTACTAAAGCTAGTTGTGCATACCTCCATTTTGTAAATAGTTTACTTCGCTGTGGTGCATATTGAGTTTTTGTGCATTTTAAAAGCAATTGGATGAATTAACATTCTTTAGCAGCATAATTAAGGTAAATAAAGAATGAGCTATCACACATCATTGGCAAAACATCATTGATTTACTGCA